GAAAACACAGTTCTAATGTCTTCAGTTTCTGAACCACTGCAGCACATATTTTTCCACATGCAGAATTTTGTCTAAACAGCTGACACCAAGATATTAAGTTGTTTATAGAAGTATGAACTCCAGTTTAAGGACTTTTATTACATAAATAAAAGGACAAAACCAAAATAACTAAGGGAACTTGAAGGGACATTTAACATCTTGCTGAGTATATTTCCAGAGAACAAAATGAAGCCTATCCCTGTCAAACCTACTACAGCCAAAGTGCTATAATAGTATTACCATTCCAGACCATGCAAGCTACTTTTCTCTTCTTTAATCACTGAATCATCTTCCCTGGTTTAGGCCACTAAAGTTTGATTCCACTTGATTCTTGCCTGCAGACAACATTTTTAAGTCAGTCACTTTGGTATATAATCTCTGAGGTTCCAACTTCTTTGACCATCCTGCTAAAAGCTATTCTCTGATGCTTTCAATGCTGCAGTCTCTTCTTCTCCTTACTGTATTTTTTGTCTTTTTTTTTTCTTTTTGGGGCAGGGGGAGGGAAGCATGGGGCAGGGTGTTGGTGGTTTTCCTTGGGGTTTGCTCAGTTTGTGGTCTTTTTATAAAGTAACAATTCCAGTTAACTCCTTAAAAAAACTTAAGCAAAATATGAAGTGATCTATCCAGAGATCCCACGCAAAACCATACATTTGTGCCTTTAGTTTGGTGAGACATTAGACACACAGTAAGATACTAACACTTCAAAAACATCAACTTACTCTAGTACTGCAAAGAGATTCCTTGAAGAAATCACTTTATGTAGGACCTACTGAAGGAAGTTCTTTGGAAACAGGAAAAACCTATGTAAATAGTGCACACATGATAAGTCTGTTTTATTGCTTGTGTCTCATCATTAAAACAAAACACGTTCCCATGGTGTAACAGATGCTTCCTGAGGCAGATCGCCTCCCACCAACACATGACTAAACCCTCAGTAATACCACCTTCTCCCTTTCAGTTACCTGTTTACAGCCTACCCCTTGAAACAACTTAAACAATTGCAATGCTTGATACATAAAGTAAAAGTATCAGCAGCTAGGTCTGATAGGAAAATTCGTATTAGCCTGCCCTCATAAGTATAGAGGGCTTTTTTCCTTCCTTTTTCCTCTTCTCTGCTGTACCACACCAAATAATAAGGAAAAACTAAGTACTCCATGCTCAGACTAGAGCCCTCTAACTTCCTCAGAAGACTTCTACAAAATCCCTCATGTTTTGCTGTTAAATCCCACGCTAAAAATTTAGATCAGAATTCTTCACATCAAGCTCATCAAGGCCAAATTCAAGTTTCTTTCCAATGCATACAAAGCACATCCAAAGGTCTTCCAGTATCAGACAATTTTTGAGGAAATATGAAGTAGCTTCATTCAAGTTTTCTAATATCCTTGAAAAACTCCTTTACAGAATGGTTTTAGTGGGCCTTCATTTTACAGAGGAAAAACAAGCTACAACCTAAAGCAGGGCATGAAAACACTAGGAAAAATTAACTGCGTGGGCCCAGAATCACTGTTGGGAGTTAACTGGATTACCAAATTTAAAAAGTTAAAATAAATAGTTCCACATCTTTAGCTCTTTTTACCTTCCTGTCTCAAAATAACTTATTTACAAGAACTTCCTTCCTTGGTGTAAATATACCCTCTTACACTGTTGTAGTGCTGGTAAAACAGCAGAAAGTTATTCTACTTTGTCACATTCCTCCTGCCAAGTAAAAAGCTAATGAACATCGAATCAACATACTCAATACGCTGCTCTTCAGGAGTCTTGCAAGTAAAAACCATGCAGCATAAAACAGAAAATCCATTCCCTGCTGTTAAGTAAAATCCCTGTATTTCATGTAAGCTTTACTTCTAATAAAGTGGGTTTTTTAATTTCAGTCCTCATTCTTCATCAAGATAAGTAGCAACACCCACTGTGACAGAATAAAAAAAAAAAATCTGCTTCTGAAATGTAAATAGGACATATTTACTATATATTCAGGCCTACTGTAGTCAGGTAACTATGTAGCTATGTTGTGTAAATGTAGATCTTTTAGGATAATGGTAAAGATTAAGTAAAAGCCCTACAAGAAAAGCAGAAGTTACTAGCTGAACTTGCAATTAAACTGCATTTCTCATTAATTTCAGGTTTGCATTTAATGTCTTAGAAGAAAAAACTCTATGCAAATACATATTCATCACTGATTTGCATGGAAAATTATATCTAGAAAAGTGCTACTTTGCAGGGAGTGGGTTATTAAATATTTCTTCAATAATTAAAAATGAACTAGCAGAAACAAGGGCTACAATTAAGTCATCTTATTTTATGCACAATGTGTAGTTTGAACATATAGTTTCACTCATCTCTAATTACCCCAGCTGAACAGCATGCCTCATCAACTATTATAATTTCAGCCATTTAAAAAGGTTTTTAGAGTAGCTTCTGTTGCTTCCTCTGGAACAGGAAGAAATTTAACATCAGATATAAAGATGGTCCACTGGAAACCAGGACAAATCCTCTGAACACTAATAAAATATTTCCAATGTATAAATGTTCCAGTATTTTCTTTTAACTTTCTCAACTTCAATGTATAAAAAATGCAGTATAAGTCAAAAGAAACAATCAAAGTACTGGGAAGTTCCTCAGGAAGCTCACACTCCATCACTAATATTTCAGCTTGCAGACTGTCCCAAATCTTCTGCAATAACAAAGGTAGACTATATACATTATTTTTGAAAAGCCATGGCAGTCAGGTGAAGTCCCTGGTGATTGGGAAAAAGGAAACATCACTCATATTGAAAAAGTGAAGAAATGCAGAGCTGAGAATATAAATAAAGACCATTGAGCCTCACCTCTATGTTTTGGAAGACTGTGGAACAGATCCTCATGGTAGCAATGTTGCAACATACAATGAGGTGATCTGAGACAATCCAGCTTGGCTTTACTAAGAGCAAAGAGTGTCTGACTGATCTGGTGGCCTTCTATGATGGGGTGACTGCAGTGGTTGATGAGGGAAGACCAAACAAATGTCACCTACCTAGACCACTGAAAGATCTTTCACACAGTGCCACGTAACATCCTTATCCCCAGACTGGAGAGGGATGGGTTAGAAGGGTGGATCATTTGATGGATAAGGAACTGCCTGAATGGACACAGATGTCAATCATTCTATGTCCAGGTGGAGGCCAGTGATGAGTGATGCCATTCAGGGCTCTCTCTTGGGACAGGGACTCTGATACCCTCATCAACAACACAGACGACACAACACAGTGAGATCAAGTGCACCCTCAGCAAGTTTGCAGATGACATGAAACCAAAGAACACAGTTGGACTAAAAGAAGGAAGAGATGTCATCCAGAGGGATCTGGACAAACCTAAGAAGTGGGCTCATAAGAACCTCATGAAGTCCAATGGCAAGGTGCTGCATCTGCATTTGAGTAAGGCAAAACATGAGCACAGACTGGGAGAAGTCATTGAGAACAGCCCTACCAAGAAGGACTTGGGGGTGCTGGTGGATGAAAAGCTGAACATGAGCCAACAGTGTGCACTCACAGGCCAGAAAGTCAGCTGCATCCTGGGCTCCATTCAAAGAGGAGTGGCCAGCAGGTCTAGGGAGGTGATTCTGCCTCTCTACTCTTGTGAAATCCCACCTGGAGTGCTGCCTCCAGGTCCTCAGCACAAGAAAGACACTGACCTGTTGGAACAAGTCCAGCCAACCAAGATGATCAGAGCACTGGAGCACCTATCTTAAGACAGACTGAGAGAGCTGGGATGTTTAGCCTGAAGAAGGTTCCAGGAAGATTTTATTGTGACCTTCAGTACATACAGGAGTGCTATAAAATAGAGAGCAACTTTTTACACAGGCAGATAGTGACAGGACAAGGGAGTATGGTTTTAAATTAAAACAGGAGCGATTTAGACTACATGTTAAGAACAAATTCTTTACTCAGAGGGTAGAGAGGCACTGGAACAGGTTGCACAGAGACATTGCGGATGACCCAATCCCTGGAAGAGTTCAGGGTCAGGTTGGATGGGGTCTGTTGATGCTGTTTGCACATAGGCACACAGAAAAGTAAGTAGCATCACATTAAATGTGACAATGATTCATAGCTTAACTCATTCAGGAAGAACAACCTTCCCCTAGATGTTATAGAAAAGGATGACAAAACGGAGCTAGATTCTTCTCCCATTCATCTACAATGAGAATGGGTATCGGAACCACATGACAGTACCCTCATTTTTAGAGGACATCTTCACTCGCCTCGGTTCTCAAGCGTGTGCCTAACAACAGCCAGATAGCAAAACAAGCAAGCACAACAAAACTACACAGACATTTCCATTCCTACCCAGTAATTTTGAGAATCTCAATGGTCAAGTTGAGTAAATGCAAGGGCAAGTTCTTTGCCAGGACCACCACCAGGAGCCTACCTATCAAACTCATTCAAGCACAGACACAAAAAACTTCCTTAGGTTGTAGGACTTAATTTACCATTAGTAAGCACAATATTCTTAATACTTGCCTGTAAAATGTAAAAAAACCCAGAAATCTTTCTCCTAGATTGCTCTCTGTAACAGGTGTTGCTTTACACCATGAAATGCCCGCAACAGATCTCAGGTAAATAGGATAGCCCAGTGATGCTTTAACCAAGACGATTTTGAGTGAAGAAACTGTAACACCAAGCAATGGGTCACATCACTGCTTTACTGCAAGTTAGATCTTTCACCTTTGCCCACCTCTTACACCGACCACGAAAGTAGCAGCTTTTATAGAGTCATACGAAACTTTCCTTTAGGCTAGAACAGTGGACAGGAATATCCCATTTCAGACAAATACAATAATTAGACTTTCCTTCCATATTTTTCTGAGAAAGGGGCTGAATTAAGAATAGCAACAACTACTCAAGTGCTGAAAGATAAAGAGTAGCTACGCAAAACAAAAGGATAAAAAAGACTTCATGTATGCACAAGTGAAGTTTTTTTACTCCTACCTCATCACTTTCATCTACTTCGATACCACCATCTTTGTCATCATCCATTTGCTTATGGATCATGCGGAGAGCTTCTAGGCTGAATCGGTCCTCCTCGGTAAAGCACGGCGGGCTGAGTGAACTGCAGGGATCTATAGTGAGGAGGACAAAAAAAACACAACACAACAGAAATGTTATTTACTTTCACTTCAGAATAGAAAGCATCCAAGCAAAAGAAAGGGTTTAAAATTCTGTATTGTGTACATGTAGTTCACTGGACATAATCATCAGGTCACAGATATCAAATTTAACTGTAAAATAGTAATTGTACCAAAAAAGTGAAAGGCTTGTGTGTGCAAATCAACTTTTTTTTTTTTTTTCCCCCAGGAAGGAGTCCCAAAAAATAGGCTAAAATAGTTTTGGCTCTTCAAATTATTTCTTCCATCCCAGTAACATACTATATCAATTTTTTCTTCTATCATTCACCTTTAGTTTATGTCAGTGCAGTGGCAAATAAAGCTACTGCATTTCCCAATCTGCCTCCTGAAAGTCTGAACAAAACAAAGAACAAAGGAATTGTCATATCATACAATCATAGTTTCATAAACAGGTAACAAAGGGGGATGGTAATCACATTGCAGATGGAATTCTAAATAGGTAGTACTACTGAACACAAAATACTCAAGGACTGCAAGAGCAGAAAGCACACTGCAAAGAAAATTCAGCTGATAGTATGACATGATGTATATAAGTCCTGTACACTCTGATCACAAACTGCAGTCACTGTAGAGCAGGATTCCAAGGCAAAAATAGTACATTTTCATTTGCATTCATTACTGAAAGCTCATGATTTGAGCACATCTGATGGCTCAGCTTGCACCACATCAAATTGCTACATCTGTGTTCTCTCCCTTCTACAAGGTACATGCCAAATGCTCCGTAGTTCTACAATGCATGATGATCAACCATCAAGAAGTAAGCTTTCATGTTGCTATAGAATTTATTAAAGTCTCACTTAAATAAAGGAAGCACATCTACAAAAAGAGAGGAATCAAATGTTTTCAGAGAAAAATAAGTTTTTTGGTTTAAAATTTCACATCAGCTGGATTAGCATGATTCTGCTTTTCTGTCTAGTTTAAATTTTAAATTAATTAAAAATCAAAATAAAGGAATGCATAAGGTTACAAAGCAGGAAGTGCAAAGATAACAACCATGACATAGCTGGAATCTCAGACATATAATTAAGAGGACTGATTTCCACAGCTAGACATGAGTCAATGCATTCTTACTTCATACTTAAGTTTTATTATGCAGGAGTTAATGGAAATCTGTTATCTGTTCCCATGAATCAATTCAAAAAAAACAAATAAAATTAAATATCAATGAATATTAATCAATAAACCACTAATAATTATTATTATAATTAACATAATGCTAATATAATATTAATATTAATAACAAATCAATACTAAACCAGACCAATCAAACAATATAATTGTCATCTTTAGAAAGCAATTAATATTTTATGAAGTGGGGCAAGTTTAATTTTAAAAATATATGTATTTTATTTGTCTATTTTGGGTTTATTACAAAAAGTTTAATTTGCACAATACTAAGCCTTTAGATTTTTGCCTTGCAATGAAAAAATACTATCCCTGTAGGGGTTAAATGACCTATCCCTGAAATTACAGGGTGTTTCATATAGAAAGGTTTCTCCTGCAATATTAATGAACCACCTCAAAGTTCTTCTAATAATTAAATTTCCATGGCCATGAATAAAAAATATTATTTTACTAAAATACAATCATATCAGAAGAACAATCTTTTTATTATAAATTTTGATCTACACCGTATCTTCTTAGAAGAAAGCCTAATTGTCAGAACATAAACAGATCCCTCAAACACACAAAACTTGTTTAAATTGTACTTAATTCTATTATAATATGGAATTTAATTTCAGATACATGTGCTCAGTTTGCAAGCACCTTCTCAAATGTTTTTTCATTTTGTTCAGCTGACAGCCCAGTTTTCAAATCAAAAAGGTTTTCTCAGAGTACATTTTCTCACACCAGAGGCTGATCAGTCCCTTAATCAGGGTATTTATCTTAAATATGCCTTTTTAGGATATTTAAGCATGAAGGCACATTAAAGAGCTATGGCTTTTCTTGAGAGAAGTAAACAGGCTGCTTGTGCTTCAAATGTCCCATGTGCTGGCTCCAAGAACACTTGATCTCTCTCTTAAGAGCCGATAGAGTGCCAATTGCTCTTTTTGGGACTGCCAAACAAAGTAGGACCACACATCAACTGTAATAAAAATTAACCCGCTCTAAAGAGAACCCAGATTTAATTTCAAGCTTGTTTTCATCTGAAAAAATTAAGCATTTAGACTGACAACACTGTTCTCTGAGGGAGGGGATGACCAATCTCAAAATAAACTACAAAGCCACAACCTAAAGAATAAGTGAAAAGCATTTCACAAGCATACCTATGGAACCCTACTAAATCCAAAAAACAGCTGATGGAAATTTAATCATCTGTAGTTCTGCAGAACATGTTATCATGCAGTACTTTGCCTCAATTGCATGGCAAAAACAATTCAAATTAATACTAGATGGCGTATGGTTACTAAACTGATGTCTGGGAAGTTTTTAAGATAAAAGCCAAGACAAAAAGTCTCAAGACACAGCAAACACGATAAATACAGCGCAGAAGCCCCACAACAAATCATGAGACTAGTTGATATTTTTTTACTTTGAATCAACACTATTGAAGATGCTCTGGGATTCCAAATCTTCTCTTGTACTTCAAGTACAAGCCTAATTTAATGTCTAGACCAATTTCTCCATCCTAGTCTGGTGTTGTCATAAATACACTTAGTCCAAAATCATCACCACAGGAAAGAACAGATATGATAAATTCACTCACAGAGTGAACCAATTTGAGCTTTCCTTCAATGAAAAGCACAGAATTAGCAAAGGAAACAAAAGAGACAAGGTGGGAAAGAGGCATAAAAGCACAGCAGATATCACTCCAGGCACAAGTTATTTTATAATATAAATTATTATATTATATTTTTCATGTTGCTCAGAAGTAAGGAAGTTTCAGAAATACTGGAAGAAATAAGGAAGGAATTTTCTCCTAAAAAACTAAATGTCAGACTCGTGGCTCAAAACTGTTTCAAAGGATTTTGAAACAAACATTCTTCCTGCCTTGAGGCAGTAACTGCCTCCCAGCTCTAAGGCAAGGGGGGCAGTCCTCTCCAATCCATAGGAGACAGTCTGATGATGCGCCAAGCAGTTACCCAACCCAGGATAGAGCAAACTTTGTATTTATAGATGAAGGGAAAATAACACTTCACACCCTTTCTCCCCACCCCTCCTTTCCCCCACTTCAGTTTTCTTCAGTGAGACTAAAATAAGGTGAGACTGCAAAAAGAATTTCAGTTTGAAATTCCCCTCAACCTTAGAATTACAGCTCTTTATTAGATTTCCTAAAGACAACAGAAGTTAAAATGTGACATTGTCAATAAAAGCCAGTGAGGAAAATTAATTACACCTTTATCTTCAAGTGCTTATCTCAGAAAAGCCCCTGAAATTTATTTAGGAATACACCATCAGAAGAGGCTCCAAAGCAAAAGGGTATATGTACCTCATAGTCTTTCATCCATCTTATATTTGCTTCTTCCTAAACAGCTGCAAATGTTACAGACTTCAGAATAAAAAAGGACTGACAAACCAACTAAAGGGGAATAAGCCTGCAATTCTCTCACACACCACCTTTTGCATACAGACACTGGAGCCATGGCTGTGCCAAGCCTGACAGAAAGACTCCAACCAGGTGTTCACAACTGCAGTCTGGAACTTTCCAATGCCTGAAAGAGCCTTTGTAAGAATACAGGGACACACAGAAGCTTCATGATTTTTCATAAGTACCTGGAATTAGGTAGATACTTCCAAACCTAAAACTGAAATGCCTTTAAATTTTCCCATTGGTTCACTCAAAGCAACGTAGCAGTTGGGAGTTATTTCAAGAGACTGACTACCACGCATCATTTCTGTTCTGTGAGGATGTTCAGCATTTACTAAGAAAGAAAAGCATGTTTTTTTATAGTAACATATGGCAGTCCTATGGAAGCCTGCAGGGTTTCCATGCCTGTATTCTACTGCTGAATTCAGAAGTGTACCATGTTGTGCTAGGTTTATGATTCCTCATTCCTAAAAAGCCATATGGGATAAAGGGAAGCCTCACAGAAAAGGCAAGCACTATAAAGCATCAGCTTCCTAAGTACGTACTCTCATCTTAAAATAGCTATGCTTCAGTATGCCATGATGACAGAAGTGGATTTCTTTGCATTTTCCAGACACAAAGGAGGCCCACAATATGCCCAATCCCCTGCCAGATGAATATTTACCTAACTGGGATTCCTATTTCCTCACATTTCTGTTTTACATGAATGTTAATATATTGCAGTTCCTTAATCAATTCAATGACACCTTTCAAGGCAAAAAAATCTTTAAAAGAACAACAATTTTTGAAGACCTGAGTACAACCTGGAGTGTCGGCAGGGTTTAATGAAAATACTGAAAAGAAAGGGTTTTCAAGAATTTCACCTGATGTTCAAAATAAATTTATTCACAGTAAAGGCAAACATGTTTTTATGTTAAATCCTTACATAAGGTGTCACTAAAATCTTCAAATGCTTGAGACAGCCTCAGAGTGAGCTTCTTTTAATCTTTCAATTAAAAGCTCCCAAAGCAAATCACTCCCACTCTTAATAATTAAACTCCTCCATATGGCAAGTAGGCTGAGTAGCATCTAACAGTTAACTTGACAAAGTAATTTGTGACATTATTTTTCACTTTAATTATTTAAACAGAAGTTCATCATTGTAGCACATCTTTCCACTAAAAACATTTTAAAAAAACTGAAAAAAAAAAAAACCACCAGACAAAATTTTGACAAAAAGTGTAGAATACCTTATCTTCTAACCACAACAGTGATGTTACTTAAATGAGCTTCCTGAAGAGGAAAATGCAATAATAGTCATGACAGAAGGGCAAGGGGAAGGGGTGCAGCAGGAAAGGAAATTCAGAACGTTGTTGTCCCCAAAGATTTTGAAAATGTTTCACAGTAGGCTTTTCCATTGCTCTGT